CTAAGTGGTTTCTCCACTGCATAACTCTGCTGCCCATAATCCTTCTACACCAGACACCTGGCTTCTGATACATAGCTCTTATTATTCATATATCTGCTCAAAATTCCTCTGTGGCTACATTTGCCAATACTCAGGACAGAGCATCCAATAAATGTTGGTTGAATGATTTAAGTCAAAACTCCAAGAGCTGGCTTCAACCTACTTCTCCTGCATTAGATTCCACTAGTTGCCTTATATTCTTGGCGTCCCCTATGGACAGGACATACATGTCCCTCCCTCCCATGCCTTTGCTCTTACCAGTGCCTGTGCAGTGGCCTCCTCAGACCATGCTTATTCATCCATGGGCAGGGTCAATCTTCAATAGCATGCCTTTTATTATCAATCCCCCCTCAACTTGTAAAACTATCCCTTCCTCAAAACACCAATAGCACTCTGCTGGTAATAGTAACTACCATCTACTCACCACTTATTATGTACCAGACATTCATTTAATTCCCACAACAGACCTGTGAGACAAGCATGCTTATCCCCATTTACAGGTAAGGAAAAATTCGTCTGAAGCTTAGGCACCCACCTGATGGCACGGGCCTAGTGAGTGCAGAAGTCAGATTGAAACACAGACCTGAGACTCTGGAGTCTGGGGTCTGATCACTAAGCTGCACTGCCTTGCTACATCTCTGGGTATATACCACACCATTTTTAAAAAAGATTTTATTTATTTACTTGTCCGAGAGAGAGAGAGAGAGCACGCACAAGCTGGGGGAGCAGCAGAGGGAGAGGGAGAAGCAGGCTCCCCGCTGAGCAGGGAGCCCAATGTGGGGTTCAATCCCAGGACCCTGAGATCATGAACTGGTCTGAAGGCAGATGCTTAACCGACTGAGCCACCCAGGTGTCCCTGTACCATACGATTTTGTGTCTTGTTCTTTTGCTGGTGTTTATTGAGCATTGTCTATGTGCCAGACGCTATTCTAAGCATTTGACACAAATTAGCTGATTTAGCTCCCATAACAACTCCGTAAGGTAGGTACTATTATTGCCCCCATTTTCCAGAAAAGGAAACCAGGATGGAGAGAGCTGAAGTCCAAGGTCACTGCCCAGGCAGCCCGTCTGCAGAATCTGTGCTCTTTACCATGGACTGGACTGCTTTTTTATCTGCTTCCCCGATTAAACAGTCAATGCCCAGAGCAGCATCTTATTCATTTCTGACCCCTCTTCAGCCCTCAACACGAGGCCTCGCACAAAGGAGGCCTTGAAAACTACTTACTGAATTCAATCACCAACGAACCTAAGAAACATACGTATGAATAACATGCATCTAACTCCCTGCCTACTAGCTTCATACTCCTCTCCCAAGCTAGGTGTACCCCTACCACTCCATCCTATACATCTGTGCCCCCATTCCACTCAAGGTCTCCTACACACACCTGCACACCCTCTCCCCTGATCACTTTTCAGCCCTTTATCCTCACACGTGAGGGACAGGATGAGTTCCCATGCAAGTCACTGTGGACTCCATCCCCGCTTGGGCAGATAATCAGCACTGGGTACACCCACTCAGTTACTCATACTTAGCTCTCTCTTCAGTTACCTGTGGCCAGACTCTCCACACCCTCGCCCACCGCCGTCCCAGAGGAAAAAGAAGCATATTTCCTAACAGGGAGGTTCTCAGTCAATGGGTAGGCCCAGACCCAGGAAGGCCTGGGGGGGATTCCAAAGCATCCACAAATCCATATGCACACCAGATACTGAAGGCACATTGATATGTCTTGCCTATAAGGCTAAAAAACTTTTTTCTAATGTATATTTGACTAGCCACAATGGCAAAGGTAACATCGAAGTCATCTAAAAGCTTTCCTGAATTCATAGTAGCTTTGTGTTGTCCCTTTTCACAACGGACAGATATAAAAATAACTCCTATTTGGAAAGGGTACTATGAATTACTGACTTTTTTAAATGCCCACAATCTCAAAAAAAGTTGAGGCTCACTCAAAGCAGATAATAATGAAATGACAGTAACTTCGGGGGGAAACCTGCGGACTCTGGCCCTCAGATCTGTCTCAGGGATGAGGAGCCAGGCCTATTCCCCTTAAAGTTTTCCTCCTCAACCCACACACCCAAGGGTGGGGCTGCATTCCTCTCCTCCTCGGCTGCAGAGAATGTATGAGAAGTGTAATGAGCATAGGATACTACCAAAGCTGCCCAGGAAATAGGAACAAATATAAGGAGAGGGAATGAGGTCATGGGGTGGGGAGAGGGAGGCAAATGAGTAGGGCTGTCACTGTGCCTGTCACCTCCAGATACGATCAGTGTTTACAACCCCGTGCCCACCCACAGCACATATCTGAAAATATACGCATATTTTCATATACACACACAGCCTTACCCAAGCCTCTATTCTCCCAAATACTTATTAACATCTCTTAATTCATTCTACAAATTTTATCAAACACCCACTAAGTGCCTGGTACTATATTAGGTACAAGGAATACAGAAAGGAATATCTCTGCCCTTTTTTTTTTAAAAGATTTTGTTTATTTATTTGACAGAGAGACACCGCGAGAGAGGGAACACAAGCAGGGGGAGTGGGAGAGGGAGAAGCAGGCTTCCCACCGAGCAGGAAGCCCGATGCGGGACTCGATCCCAGGACCCTGAGATCATGACCTGAGCCGAAGGCAGACGCTTAACAACTGAGCCACCCAGGTGCCCCCATCTCTGCCCTTTTATCAGACAAAGCACCACCTCTCCCTCAACAGCTACCAACACAAACACACACATACACACAGAGGCAATCCTGCCCCAACAACTGTCTGACACCCACCTAATAGCCCCTTTCCCTCTTCTTCATGAATCATACACACACACACACACACACACACACACACGCACAATGGGTCAGATAAGGAACCGTCTCTCCTAGCTCCAACAGAGCTAACATAAACTTTCACCTCACACATCCAACACACGCATATGATACACAAACTGTCCCTCCCACACACAGGTACTCCAACACATCTCAGACACACAACCACACAACCCGTATTCAGAAGCATACACCTTATGTGGCTCACTGGGAGCCTCTGGCCAATAAATCCTTTCAGGGAATGGACACAAGGGTCTGGTTGACCAATGTGCTGCTGGCTGCATTTTTCATACACTCAGGCCCAATTCTGCCAGTAAGCCCATGGACCAGCTACTATAACCTCTCCGAAGCTCAGATTCCCTTTCCATCAAGTTAGAAGGGTGGTTCATCCTATTTTCTTAGAAAGGCTTGGAGGGGAAAGGTCATAGAGATCAGAGAATCAAGTTCAAAGTCATGGGAAGAAAAATTCCTTATGGAGTTCCAGTGTCTTACTGAGGTCTCACATTAAGACACATGCACGCGGGTACCTACATATGAGCACACGCCCTTACACTTGTATACTATTCACTCCCTTAAGCACTGCACTCCCATCTGTAAACACGACTCTATTCAAGCAGACCATTCACACATAATGCACACAGTGCCAGACTCACAGCCTCTGCGTGCAGGCAAACACACACAGACACACACTTTCACAGTTTAGGGAGCACCTGAACTCCTTGGAGAAAAGGTGAGAAGGTGTCAGGTTAACTTAATACACCCAGTTCCTGAAGATATGTCCCACAACCTTGTACAAATAACCCCACAAAAGCAATCCAAACACGTTCCTTAAGGATTCCTCTACCACAACTGCAGATACACAGTCAAAATACCGTGCATCCCAAACCCAGGGCCACAACTGCAGACTCGGCTCCTCCCATGGCTGTCCACATGCTGGCAGCCGGGAGGACACCCATCCCCAAAGCGGTCCTAGGGCCGCACTAGTCTGAGGGCACACACATGCACACGCACACACTCCCCAAGAGACTCTACCTCTCGGGGGAGGGGGCAGGCACACACACAGCAGCTGGGTGGCCCACAGCTTCTAGGGGTCTGGGGCAGAGGAAAGCACGCCTGCCGCCACAGACCAGGGTCGAAGGAGATGCCCACCCTCGCCCCCAAACTGACGGGGAACGTCTCCCCGCCCCCCGCCAGACCAAGGTGCCTTCAAGCCCCTCCTTTCCCGTCCCCCTGAACCACAGCCCGCAGGGACCGGGGTCTGGCGCCACCCGCGCGACCTCTCCCCTCGTTTCACTCAGCTCCGCCTCTGGAAGCTGGGGAGCTGGTGGAAGCTCTCCCTCCCTGAAACCTCCCTTTCCAGGCACAACCTTGCCATCCCCACTTTCCTTCCCCTGCCCTCGCTGCGTGCCCTTCTCCTCACGCCCAGGGCAGGGCCCCTTCCTCCCGTCGTGCCCCGGTCTCACCAGCCATACTTCCCGCGCTTCCCTCTCACAAACTCTCAGATCGCCTCCCGCAGCTGGGAGCACCTGCTCCGCCCGCCTCCGCCCGCTGCGCGCCCGCCTCGCAGGCCCCGCCCACCCCGGCCCCACCCGCAGCCCCCGCCCCCTGGGCAGACCCCTCCCACTCCCGGCCCTGCACACCGCCTGGCCTTCCAGGCCGCACACACCGTCAGGACTCCTCCCAGGCCCCAGACTTGGCGCCCGCATAGTCCCCGCCCACATGAGCCGACCCCGCACAGATCGAGTCCGCACACTCCCTCACACACCCCCTCACACGCCCGACCCACAGGCCCTCAAGCGCCGGGACCCTCGTCCTCCCGCCAGCCCCTCGCCGGACCAGACGATACAGTACTACCCTCAGGTCGCCCCGCACAGGCCAAGTCCACACAGGTCACTGGCTAGCCACGCGCCCCCTCTCCTCGGGACAGGCGTCCTCACCCGCCCCTCGCAAGGACACGCCTCACGACCCTCGCGTGCTGGTGCACGCTCTCACACGGCCTCGCGCCCGAGCCCGCGGGCCACCGGCTCCCCCTCAGGCCGCGACCCCGGGACCCGGCGCAGGCAGCCCCTCACTCCCGAGCCCAGGCGCCCAGCGGCGGCTCCCCACCCCCACCCACCCACCCCCGCCACCCCGGGCTCACCTTCGCTGCAGAACTTGCCGCCGAAGCCCGTGTGGCTGCAGTCGCAGCCCACCTCGCCGGGGGCCAGCACGGTGCAGAGGCCGCCGTTGGCACAGGGGTTGCGCGCGGGCGCGCACAGTGGGTCGGCGGCGGCGCCGCGCAGGCCCTGGCTGCCCAGGAGCGCCGGGGGCCGCTCGCCCAGCTTCAGGTTGGCCAGAAGGCCGCGGAAGGGCGGCTCGTACTTGACGGTGCTGAGTGTGAGCGCCGAGAGTCGCACGTCGGGCGGGATGCCGCCCACGAACAGGTCGCTGGCCACTTGCATCTCACGCCGCTTCGAGCGCACCTCGGCCGCGCGGGCCTCGCCGTCCACCGCCAGCGCCGTGCGGCGCGCATCGCGGGTCAGCAGCACCATGTGCCAGCGGTCGTCGGCCACCGGCGTGTCCAGCTGCAGCGTGGCCGGCTCGGCGCACGAGAGCGTGAAGCGCAGCCGCAGGCGCCCGTCCACCAGCAGCAGCTCCAGGAAGTCGCAGTCGCCACCGTCGTCCAGGTAGAGCAGCAGCGCGCGCGTGGCGTTGGTGCGCAGGCTGAAGCTGAGCTCGCCGCTGCTCGCCGCGCCCGCCCAGCGCGCGTAGCGAGCCCACTGCCCGGGGCCGCCGCCGAACTCCAGGCTGCCCGCGCCCGCCGCCAGCGCCAGCAGCAGCAGCAGCAGCAACCGCGGCGACGGCGACGGCGGCCGCCACGGGCTCCCGGCCGCCATGCCTCCGGCGGCCCCGGCCCCGCCCGGCCCCCGGCCCCGCTCAGGCTTCAGAGCCGCGGGCGCATGGGGCGGGGAGGGGGCCGGGCGCCCCCCGCGCCGAGCGGGGCTCCCTCGCCGGCTCACAGTGCCATGGGCCCGGCCGTGGGGCGAGGCGCAGAGGCCCAGGTACCGGCTTCCCCGGGCGGCGGCGGCGGCGGAGGCGCCCCTCCCCCGCTGCGGGCTCCGACGAAAGATGGGGGAGGGATGCCTGCGGGGAAACAGAGAGGAAAGGGTTAATGAGGGATTCGGAGGAGGGGAGAGGGTTAAGGAGGGGATCATCGGTGCTGACTCCCCCGTCACACCAGGAGGCACCCAGTTGTTCCCCTTTAGGACTTGAGGAGCCGGCCCTGACCCGGAGAGGGTCCCAGAGCAAGAGACACCAGCACGGACGGTAGGACTGGGGGCCCAGCACTTGCAGAGAGATAGCACTCATTAGGGTAGTTATTAATTTGAGATGTGGGCGGGTGGGAGTAGCATCTTAAAGTTCGGTAGGAGCCCAACCGGGGCGCCCTCACCCTCGTGCCTCCCCCCCCCCCGCGTCAGGACCAGGGCCAGCTCCTGTGGGTGAGGCCTGGAGACTCTCCACCAGCTGGTGACCCAGCCCCTTCCTCTCTGAGCCACGCAACCTGTGTGTGATGCTCCCGCCACCAGCCAGCTAGTCGCCGCTCTCTCATCAGCTCCTGATGCTGGATAATGAAGTTGCTAAATAATTCATTGGGATTAATTAAATGCCAATTCGTCAATGGGATCACTGGGCAGCCTGGCTGAGAAGGGGGCAAGGGAGAGAAGCCAGCTAGGACCCAGGCATTCAGGCCCCAAACCCTCTCCATCCATGCAAGGACACTCATCTCCAAGTCCCCCTAAACAACACTCACCCCTCCCTGGGCCCCAACCCCACTGCTCACTGGAAGGCCAGATCCTTCCTAAACTTAAATGTCTGTTACCCTCAACCTCCAATTCCCAGTCCTCACCCTCAGTCCTGGCCCAATACCTGGGTTCTCTTCACCCTTCAGTTCCACCCCCTCCCCATCCAGGGCTGGGGGAGCCACCAGGAGGCAGGCAGGCTTATTTACATAAAATTGCCTTTCTGAAATGATTACCCTTGTAACGGGCTGTCAGAGAGCAATTTATACCCCACACCGGGGAGGGGAATTTGCATCTCGTTAAACTCCGAGTCGTAATTATTTATATCCAACAACCCTCCTGAATATTGCATTGATTTTATTTTGGGGAGGGAGGAAGGGAAGGAGGTGGGGAGAACCCTGGAGAGAAGCAGGGAGGGGCCAAAGTTTAGGAAGAGACAGGGAAAGATTGAAGTTGTTGGGGGGGGAGGTGGAGCACAGGAAAAGTGACAGAGACAGAAGAGTAATGGAGGAGAAAGGTGGCCTGGCGGGGAGAAGAGGAAAGAGACGATAGAGAAAATTAATCCAAACGGCATTTGTCAAAGCCCTGGATGCTGGGCATTTTTACAAATGGCATTTTACTTAATCACTCTGAGAAGTCCTGCTGTTCCCATTAAGCACTGGGGAAGCCCTCATAGAAAGTCTAGGGACTTGCCCAAGGTCACACAGCCCATCAGCAGGGAACTGGGACTTAGATCCACAGGTGTCAGACTCCAGTCTCTCCACAAAGGATACAAAGGGTAGGGCAGACACAGGTGTAGCTCAGGGCAGTGGGAACCAAAAGGAGAGAAGAGGCGAGAGAGGTCGGAGGGGTACAGTTCCTTTCTACGTGGGAGAAAGCTGGGGTATGAAGGGAGAGAGAGAAAGCTAGGGGCCCCCTAAAAAAAACACAGCAGGGGAGTGAGAAGAGTTGAAGGAAGGCAGGGATGGTTAGGGTGACATGTGTGCCGAAGGAAGAAGGGCCAGAGAAGGTCCCAGGAGAACAGCGGGAGAGTTTGGGGAGCCATCTCCAAGAGACCCTCAAAGCCCAGTTCTCAGGTCCTTCCATCTGGCTTCTTCTGACTGTTGCCCCCCCCCCCCCAACCCCCCCCTCCCAGGCCCACAGGCATCAATGGGGACTCAAGTGTCCTGCCTCACTGCCCCTCCAAGGGCTGCCCCTTCCTGAACAGGGGACAGAGCAGGCAGACAGCCCCCTCTCCCTCCAAACACTGTCCGGGTTATATATAGCTTTACCACTGCCTCTCCTCATTGGGTAATGGAGATAATTAACATGCGCGGGCTAATTAGCCAATCAAATTAAATGCAGCACCTGCTCCCAGGCTGATTGACGCCCTTACCCCCACACACATGCACCCCCACCCCAGCCCAGGGCAGGGGAGGGGGACCCTCAGGCTTGGGGGAGGGAAAGGCCAAGCCCCCTCTTCTCCAGAAGGGGCAGGGAGACCCCCAGTGGAGGCACAGGCCGGAAGACCAGAAAAGTGACGTCCTTCCTCCCTCCCCGACTGGGGTCTCAGTCTCCGACTGGCCCAGCCTCTCTTTGCCTCTCTCCCAAACCCCACCCCCACCTCTGGACACATTTTGGGGAGGGAATTAATTAGCTATCGATTTCCACTAGCAGAGGGAATAGGATTTTGTGCTGCTGTCCACTCACCCCTCAGCTCAGGAGAGGGAGGGGATTAGTTCTCCTGCCCCACCCCGAACCCAATCCCTCTGTCATACTCACATCCCCCACCCTGGAGGGAGCCGGCAGAGGGCTTCTTACTGAAAAAGCCTCGGGGCTGGGTCTCCCTTGTTCGGGAGGCTGGCAGAGCACAGATCAAGTGAAGGTTGGTGAGGAGGCCTCCAGAGGCTGGGAGGTAGATGCCTGGGTCCTAGGAGCCAGAAGGAATTTACCTGGAGGCCAGTGGGCGTGGGGGAGGCAAAGTGCGTGAGAGTCCAGGAGCGGATGACTCCACAGGGCGGTGTGTGTGCCAAGCTGTGGAGGGAGAGTGTGGGAAGGGAACGGGTACTAGGCTGGGAGGCAGCTGTGGGGGCAGAGACTGGGCTTGTGCGGTGTCTCGGGGGAGGGGCGAGGGCAGGGTCTGGGAACCAGGGCCCCTCAAGGCTCATTACTCATTCTCCCCACAGCCCACAGCTCCGCAGCCCAGGCCAGCCTGGCTCGGTGCCGAGCACAGGGGCTGCCGGCCTGGCCAGGAGGAAGCCCCAACCCTCCCCCAGTCCTCTCTCCAGGGACCCAGAGACCCTTGGGGCAGCTGCAGGCTTGTGAGACAGAGATGGCCTCAAGAAGACTGTGTGCTAAGTGGACACCTGGGTCCCTTCCACCCCACCCCACCCCACCCCACAGTTCCCCGGGAAACCTGCTGCTCTTCCCCTCCCCAGGACTAAGCTTCTGCTGACCCAGCCTCCAGCCCACCCTTCCTCCCAGGACGCAGGGGGTTCCTGCGAACCTAGGACCCACTAACCTTCCTCTACTCCTGGCACACAGCTCTCCGGGCTCAATCTCCTTGCCATGGGCCAGGCCCATTGCCTTGCACAACTACATCAAGTAAATGGTTCCCCTGGAGTTGTACACTGGAAGCCCCCTACCCCCACCGTCCAGGCACTGCTTCCCAAGACCCACTCTTCTTCTCCAGTGCCCACTGTCAGTGCAGGGACACTGGCCAGAGCAGCCTCGGGATATCCTGTCTGCTGACTGACAGCCACTCCTGGTCCCCCGACCACTGTTCCTGGGGGACCTGACCTCTCCCATGTTCCCCAGGACTCTGCACCCAGTCAGCCTCCTAGCGCCTCCTACCCGCAGATGGCCTCTGTAACTTGGAGCCAATGGGGAGGGGAGCCGCATGGGGAGGGGGTGTGGGGTGACTCGTCTACTCTGAGGATCTGGCCTACTCTCTCGCCCACTGAGCCCTCTCCCACAGACTCTTTCTAGGTCTTCCTAGGCTGACAGCCGCCTTCTCGTCTCCCACGGCCAGGCCAGGACAGTGCCACGGCGGCACATGGACTGAAACTTCTGGGCTCCCCAGTGCGCACCCAGCGCCTGGCTGGACCACCACACACACTCTCTCAGTTTCAGGAGTTTGATGAGCCCACTCATCACCCCAGGCTTACAGACAAGCAACCTGAGCTTAGCATGATAAACCCATTTGCCCAAGCACGAGTGCAGGTAAGGGGTCTGCTGGCTCCAACACCTATGGCCTTCCTGCCACCTTGCCCAGGCCACGGGCCACAGGGAGGTGTCAAGCTCAGAGCCCACCTTTCTCTGATCTGGCCATCACAGGGGGTCACTGCCCTCTACAGACAACCCAGACTTAGTCGGCCCCTGGAACTGAAAACCACAGAACTCAGAGCTCATGGAGTTCAACCCTCTTGCTTTTTCTGAGGTGGAAGCTGAGTCCCAGAGAGGGACAGTGACTGACCCAGGGCCACACGGCAGAGCAAGACTCAAACAAAGGTCACTGGCCTTCCATTCTAGATGCTTCCCCCTGTACCCACCGTTCCAGACCTGGGCCTTCTGCCTGACCAAAAGGCTCAGCACCCCCACACCCTCGGGGCAACCTGAGCGAACAGATGCAAATTCCGGAAGGAGAGCTAGTCCATGCCCACTCCGGCAGAGCCCCTGGCCAGGGGCCTTCTCCCCACATCCACCCACCCCCATCTCGGGCCACCTTGATACCACACGCGCGCGTGCACACACACACACCTCCAGCCATGGGAACGCCAGCCTCCCTCTGGCTCTCTTCGCCTCACGCCAGCTGGGAGTGTGACAGCAGGGGCCTCCCCCAGGCGCCGGCGAGGAAGAGCTGGGTTTACACACATTCTGGTGGCCCCAGAAGGCAGCCCATGGACAGGTGGGAGAAGTGCGTGTTAGGGGGAGGGAGATTTTGGCTTGAGCTAAAGAGAGGCTTGCTGGCAATTTAAAGCCTCCAACAGTGGAGTAGGCTGCCTCCGGGCGGGGGAGGGGGGTGAGTTCCCCTTCTGTGGAGGTGTGTGAGCTGAAGCAGGATGACTACTGCTCAGAGTAGCTCAGGAGGGGGCCCTTGAATCCCATGGGAGGGGACA